AATGTAGGCTCTGTGGCCATGGCCTATACGACGTGTTGTTTTATTGTCTATTAATTATTTTACATAAGCGTAATACAGACATTGATTATGATCATTAACCTCTGTTGTGTGTTATAACAGTATTATTGCTCGTTCTATTGTTATCTTCTCAATGAAGGGCGTTTACAGTTAAAGTTCTTGATTTTAGGGCGATGTATTTCATGTTTTTTTTTTCTAAAATAATAAACGAAATCACTGAAAAAAAAAAAACCAGAGTCGGTCGGCAGCTTGTCAGCGTCAGTCGGAAATTTTGAGTGCTGTCAGACGGGGCATCAATACTGTAATGTGATGTGGCGTTTATATACTTTCTGCTTTAAATCAATCAATCATTTAAGAACGTATAGGCCTAGAAATAATATACAACAAAATATAAAGCATCAAATACTGTAAGCTTTAATAATATTACGAAAAATATAATAAAATTTGGCAGTATATTAATATTATCAACATTCTTCTTTTCTTCCACTGATTTTTTTTGCAAACTCATCGCAGTAATAATGCCATTGAATTTCTTAGAATCACATTAAGTAATTTGCAGCATAAAGACCTGATAATACAACACGATTATCAACATATAATTGCATATACTAGAAATTGCAAATTGCAAGTGAAGTGCTGCGAAGTACAACTGCATATAAATGTTCTTCGAACAAACTTATTTATGCGAGTCAAGTGAAAATAATGAATAATAAAAATATAACAAATATTATATGAGACACGACCCATTGTCTATATTAGAACACTTCTCATTGGGTAACAAAGTCGTAATTTTTCATTTTTGTTAAAAAGTATCTATAGTGGTGGATTATGGTTTAGGTTTTTTTAATAAAGTTTCAAAAATTTCTATGTATGTGGAAAATGTAGTTGATTACCAAAGGTTACAATTTTTATTTTGAAGACTGCATGGTCTAGGAAGTGTACATTTTTTTATGGGGCAAGTTTCCAAGGGCGGGTTTTCTAAGGGCGAGTTGACTGCCAAAGAGTGTTGCCAAAGTGCGAGCCAGCGTGTTATTTGATGATAATAATATTCAGTATTAGTCAAGGGGGCGACTTTGTTAGGGGGCGACTTTGTTAGGGGGCGACTTTGCTAGGGGCGACTTGACAGTTGAGACTTGGTTAGGGGGCGACTTTGTAGGGGACGACTTTGTAAGGGGCGACTTTACAAGGGGGCGACTTGACTGGATCCCGCCTATACCAGACCTAGCCCAGGCCTATATTAATTTAATGTTAAATCAGTGGAAACTATAGCAACTTAGTTTGCTGTTTGTTTATCCTGTCTCTGGCTTTTGGTCTGTTGTTATTCTTGTTTGTATTGTAATTTGTTTGCGGAATAAATGAAATGAAATGAAAATAAATCCAGGCAACAGAACAGTGCAGATTGTTATTTTGATTGTCTTTTTGCCTAGGCTAGGCCTTAGTAAACCTTGGATAAAGTGTGATCCATGGACCACTGGTAATGGTATACAGCTGAGGCCGGTAAATATATTCACAATGTGATAAACCAAACTCTAAATTGTAAGCCATTAATTGGAGAATATTGGGCCTCAGTTGGATACCTGGGGTCCACGGAATGCATTTTTGATCCGAACACATTATACCTAGAAGCAGGCCTGCACTGAACTCAGCAGTGCCTATATTAATATTAGTATGACAGTGTAGGCTATTAATTATGCATTGAATGATAATTATTTTGTTTTAATTTAATTTATCAGTAATTTTTAATTATTTTACTTTATATTTTTTCAGTAGTAACAGCAACCTCAAACAACAGAGAACATGTCAGCAATGAGGCCATTTAACACATCGACCAAAGATACGCTTTCAACTAAATTAAGGTAAGTATTATTAATATTAATGCATGGTGGTGTGTGAGTAATGTGGTTGATGTGCAGCCTAAATGTTATTATTCATGCATTCTATTATAAATGAATGTAATGTATGATAATTGGTGTTTAAAATACATTTCTCATTGTCATATTATTTTTAAGGAACTTCAATGCCTCAAAATCAGCAACTCGACAATTGGAGGTGGATAGCCGGAGAATGGAAGAGCGCCTTCGTGAACTAAAAATGACGATGAGTCAAGAGAAACAAGAACGAGAGTAGGTTGAAATTCTAGTAGCAATGTCAGTTTTATATATATCATGCCGATAGTGAACAACGCTTTTGCATTTCACGTTATTTTACTAGTTATAACAAACACCTATGGAAAACATACCAGTCCCCTCGGAGAGAATTCCATAGTGTTTGCCTTGTCCAAGACCGCAAGTGAAATTGTTCAAATTTCCGACATCATTTTTAAGAGCTTGTGTCGCAATCAATATTAATATATATTTTAATAAAAAAACCAATGCTCCAAAGGTTTTCACAAATTGCAATTTGAAGCAGGAGATGTATACAATTATTATATTTTTTCCCAAATTTTTTGGTTTTAAATTTTGTTATGTTTTTTTAACAGAAGACAGGGCAGTGGTGGATATTGGCGATCTGGTAAAGCAGGATCATTGACAACGCAGGCACCTAAGAGCAGCAGGAAATCTAATAGAATCACTGAAATGCCTCGATCATCCAAGGTAAGGTCTTTATGGGTTTTTTTTGTTATGATATTTGTTTTGATTTGTAATTAATCATAAAGCTACATTTGTATTCATGGTTTTAAATAATTTTCAGTTTATTTTGTTGACTCAAGACTAAAATGGAAATCGTAAAACATTTTATTGTTGAATATTTTACAAATTTTTAATAAATGCATAATAATATCAAGTTTTTTTTTATTGCATGCATATGTTTAGGTAGGATGGTAATTTTTATATTGTAATTTTGTACTATAAAGAAATGGAATTATATACTGCAAATATGAGTGTAGGCTCTTTTAATTATAATTTCCATGACCCAAATAATTTCACATTATTATTAATAATAAGAATTTATTGATTTATATTGCACAAATTCAATTTAAAAAGAATGTTCAAATGCTCATTACAATAAAATAGGCAAGAATACAAATTTACAATACAAATTTACAATATGAAAGAGATTTTTTATGACACTCAGGATACATAATCTTGGGTGTAGCATTCATAAACCCCATCCAGTGTCCAGCATCCAGGGTACCTAATAATCAACTTAGTTAGTTGAACCACTTTTATTACATAGCCTATTATACTGTATATATACAAATTTTCTTTTACCTTGCATTGTCTGCTGTTTGTTCAGGGTTCTAAGCAGTAGACCAAATAGGTGTTATTTTAATCTGGATATTTATTTTTTAATGTAATAAAAACAAAACAATAGGCACGTTTGTACGAGTTAGACAGAAGCTCTGAAGTAGCAGTTCCTTGTCGTAAGCCCTGGGTAGTGTCTGTGAAGACGCTCTTTGTATTAAGTTATTTCAAAGTTACTACAGACACTTTACTCCTAAGAAGTCTCAGGCGGGGTGGGTGTGCTACCTCCGTGTACACAAAGAATGTAAGAAATACATGCTGAGCGTAGCGCCAGGTAGACGCACTTACTTCAGAGCTCGCAAGTAAATATGACCTTTATTATGGCCTCAAATTTTTTGAAAAGATAATGACCTACAGATGAGCGCCAAAATACCATTTTGCTTTGATGTGTAAACCTTTGTAGACACTAAGTTGTCATAATTGTTTAAAATTTCAAGAATTTGTGTGCAACATAATTGTTGTTACACAACAAAAGTGGTGACTATCACTCTGGAAAATTTACATACTTACTTCTGGATCTGCATATGGTTGAGTCGGCAGTTTCAACCTAGGTCGTACGTTCGCCTTTGAACTAGTCTTGAATTAATTGACAAGCTTTGAAGTGAAGAAATACATTATGCCTTGGGTACAGTAAGCATTGTGTACTACTCATTGAAAGTAACGTGTGCATAAAATGTTATGTCTCGTAACTTCAGACAGAAGCCCGTCTGAACACTACTAGTATAAATAACACAATTTTTCTCTTTTCAGTCCAAGAAAATAACAGTTTTAAAAGATGAACCTCTAAGTAAGTGCATCAATCAAATATTTTTTGGTATCTGTAGAATTTTTAGTTCCTATGCATGTAATGCAATAGGAACTATTGTAATCACTCTTGCTATTTCCTATGTTTTTTATTGTGTGTAGTGTGTATGTGTGTGTGTAGACATTTATGCAAATGCGCTTGCGTCAAAGAAAAGTTTTCCGACATTTTGTTTTACATCGCGATGCGAAGATCGATGTGAAGTTTCTGCAGAGTTCAGTCAGGGCTCACGCTAACCGACTGGAATGTCGGCATGGATGAAACTATTTTGGTTTTACGGCAAAAAAATCATCTGCTGTAGGCATAGGTATTTTGAAGAAGGCCTAAAATAAAACTAAAATGTTTTAATACTTGCTGAAATACATCGTTTCTTCATTTAGATCTCTATTTTTCACTTAGTCCATGCGACGTTTTTTTCTGTTGTATACGTATGAGTAGTCATATGAAGGTACTATATCCCCGACAGTTGGCTGTGCAGCAATGTACCCTTTGAATGCAAACTGAAAACAGGTGGAAATATAAAGGCAGCCGACTGTCGGGTACATAACGACTATCTAGCTTTCCACAAAAACATGAGGCCTAAGCAAGGCCTATTTCAGTATTACTACGATGCAAGGGTAGGCCTAGTTAGATCGTTCAATCAATGATATCGTGTTATCGTCTAATACAATTAAATAATGTGTGTAATATTTAAGAATGCACCACGTGGGTCGCTCTCTTTGTTATGCGGTTGTAGTGTAGTATACGTAGCAGAGTGACGACAGCAAGCTAAGTCTAGCCCAGGCATAGATTGTGTACGTTCTTGATAATCGTAATGAAAACGTCGGGTGATAGACGATTGGGCCCA